ATATATATATATAATCACTAATATAATTTATATATACTAGTAAAAATAATAAACAGTGAATCTGACTGGCTTTTTGTATAACTATCCCAACTTTTATTGAGAAACATTTAGAATTTCTTTAAATATTTACAACATTTTTTTTCTAGAGAAATCTTTCACCTATTTTGGAAAGAAACACCACTTAACAACTTGTTTGGATGTTTGTTACTCATTGTATCATATTGTATTATTATTCCAAAATAATATTTGTTTTGATTATTTCATTAAAATTGGTGGTATTGTCTTGTTAAATCCATTGTTCTGAAACAATGAAAAATCTCATTTTTTGGAACAATCGATTTGGTGTGGTGGAATTGTTTCATATTTTTCTTTTCAATTATGCTTTTACTTATTACTCCATAATTCTATTTTACCCCTTTCCTTTTTATTTTTATGTTAACTCCAAATCTCCTACCTATAACCTCTTTGTCTTCGTTCCTTTTTCTCCAGAACTTTTACCGCTTCCAACTCCAACGTAAAATTGCTAATTTTGTTAGAATTTGCATGAATTTAATTGCTTAATCTATTTATGAGACATATTTGGTGATAAATTAGTAGAAATGAGTTTTCTTAAATTATTTTTATGCGTAATTCTTGATAAATTTAATATTTAAATAATTATGGCATTTTAATAAACTTATCAGTTACAGCACAGTACGATACAGTCAAACCAAACAGCAAAATATTATTTAACAATAACAAACAATACAATTTATCCTAACGTTAAATTTATAAAAGGATACAATATAATACAATACAACACAATACAGTATATTATAAAATGATAGGTAACAATCATCCAAAACAAGCTTGTAAATATTCCTGGATCTTTTTCTTTTGTCTTTTCCCCTTTTTCATTTCCCGGCCATATAAGATCGATAGGCGTGTGCACTGTCGGACCTCCATAAGGGCATATCCAACCTTTATCCCTATTTTGGTCCCCCAAATGGGGATTTCTCCATTTTAGGGACAACTTACTCGAACCATTCCCCCATTTTTTCTCCTAAAAGAGAATATTCTTTTTTATATTCTCCTCTCTCTTCTATATTATATTATTATCTTTCATTTCAATTTTTATTTTTTAAATTCCATTAAACAAATTCCATCTTTTATTTTCATTAATTTGTAATTTTCATTAAAATAATTCCATAAAATTTTAAATAATATAATTTGTAAGCAATTATTATAGATTAACTAATAATTCAAATAAAAGTGAAATCATTGTGATACAAGATTAATTAAATACATATTATATAACGATAAAATTCATTCGAAATACTACATAAATATTCAACTTCAACCTCTAGTATTCTCCCATATATGATCTATTAATGCATTACGAAGTACAAAATGAGCATCTTTGTCCTTAATTATTCTATGTCGAGCTAAAAATTCTTAAAATCGTTGACTTTCATCTACTGCCATTTCTACTGCTGGAGGTGGATCTTCCAAATCATCTTGAATTGGTGCATTAAGATCACGCCCATTCTCGATTATCATGTTGTGCAGTATAATACATGTAGTCATTATATCATGTAGCACTTCTTTTTGCCAAAAACGTAAGGGCCCTACAAGGCTATGCTAATATATCATCGGACTCTGAGAATCCTATCCCTGATTCACCCTATCTATCATCTCCTAACTTATCATCATTTTCACTAAATTTAAATGAGGATGTTGCAGGCGATTCCACATCATCACAATGGCCTAGTGGGGTGAAGAAAGCAAAAATGAAGAGAAAAATTGATGAAGATTATATGAAGACAATCCAATCAGAAAATAATCGGATGGTTGAGGCGATGAATAATGCAACCGAGGCAAAAAAAGAAGTTTTAGTTGTTCAAAAAGAAAAACTAAGAGTAAAAGAAATGAAGGAAGAAAAAAAAAGTTTTAATGATGGATGTGGATTCTATTGTCGATCCGACTCGTCATGAATTTATGCGATAAGAACAACAACGAATAATGTATAAAAGAAGTCAACAATATCCACAATCACAACCACAACAATCCTCGACTCCATTCACTCAATATTATAATAATTTTGGTGTATCTGAAAACGACATATCTCCCTACTAAGTTATTATGCTATTTACTATAGTTTCAGTTTTTATGTATTTTAATTTAATGTATTTTCAATTTTCATGTATTTCCAATTTTAATGTATTTTCATTTAATATATTTTTAATTTTTACTTTTTAATTTTAGCAATATCTAATATTTTATATTCGTACCTTTCAATTTTAGCAACATCTAAAATTTTTATATTTGCACCATTTATTTTTTGAGAGGATTATATATTTTTTGTACAATTATAACTTATTATAAAATTAACTTATAATTTTACGTAAAAATAATAAATGCACGAAAATTAATTTATCAAAATTATATGTCAAAATTAAGATGTAAAATTAATATTATAAAGATATTACATAAACATAATTAGATATATATAAAGAGATAAATTAAAAGAATTAAATAATAAAATAATAATAAAATATGCTATCAATAATAATGGAAAAATGAATAGTGTACTTATATTTGGAGGAACACTGTTTATCCCATTTTGGGGGCAAAAATGGGGAGGATTGGAGTTTCATTATGGCAAAAATTGCCCAATGGGGCGGGTTGGAGGGTTGGAGATGGCCTAATTGCGAGACCTCTGCGTGTTTTTTCTTTATTATGGAGTTTCAGAGTCCCAACTCAGAGAAAAATTTGAGCTCTCCAATGAATTTGTTCAATCACAGTGAATATATAGCTAACGAAAACGGGGGGAAATCCATCATTTTCACCCAAAACAATCCAATTAACCAACCCTATCATCGAACCTGCAAACCAACAGCTACAATCAACTGCCGCCGCTTCATTATCCAACACAGGAATCACCATTCTAATGACAATGCCGAGAAATTTGACATCCCCTCTACCGTATCTCAACAACATCAGGAAATTCAGCAACAACAACAACAGCACCCAAATGCAGATTCAACAGCAGCAGAATAATAATAGTAGTATTAGCAGCAGCAGCAGTAACAAATAGGTCAGATGGATAGTGGGAATTTAACTAATCAGCTGCCTATGTTGTAAGCACATGCTGTTGCAGCTACTGCCAGTTTAATATCATCTTCTGGCTTCGGTAATGTATACTTACTTTCACTTCAGCACTCGTAGGATTCCTCACATGAGGTGTTTAATGACAGATTAAAAATGTGATTACTCATCTCTTTTCTCATATTTACTCCTGACCATTTTATGCACTGTTTGGATAGAGTATGTTTTTTTGAAGAAAAAATATAGTATTCCCTGTTCCTTTCATATAACATTATTTGGTTTGGAACATAGTTTTAAATGGTAAGAACAGAGTTTAACATGTTAATTGACTTATAAATTATATAAGTGGCAATAGAAGAAAGCACTAACATAATTGTTGAAAAGTTAGTTCAATAGAGAAAACATGACATCAGAACTTAAATTTTGAACAATGAATTAGAACGCTTGAAAAATGTGAAAGTTGTTTGAAATAGAAAGGTACATTTTGCAATAACCCGAAATAGGAATTTTGTCATATAAATTGCAACTGAGAGAGTAACCAATTATGTAGAAAATTTGTTTTGGGCGCAGCCACGGCAGAAGACAGGATAACAGGACTAATGCCGGATTCTCAGTTTCATAATTGGACTTCTCATGGACAGACTTTTCAGGGAATGCAAGCAATGGGAATAATGAGACCTCTCAATTTGAGCTCTTAACTGAGAGCAAATTGGGCCCTTACATATGCCCATCAAAGGATGAACCAAGGTCAACCGAGGCAGAAGTTGTCTCAGCGAACTTCCTTAACCACCAGTCAGGTGACAATTTTTCATAGCTCCAGCAATATATATTCGACTGTAAAATCTAACTGTCCTTTTTCTGCTGATTTTTTTACTTGACACTGTAGTTTCCATGGACATTACCTTAGATTATTTAGGGGTCATCTGATTCTGGTATTAGAGCAGTTAATACCAGCATAAAATCTCGCATAAGATAATGCAATGTTTAGTTGGCTGTGTAAGAGGAAAAAAATCATCGCATAACAGATGCAGCATTTGGTTGGCACTTGGCAGTATTAAATAAGATTTTGTATTAAGTTATGCGGGAGCATATGTATTATTTTATGCGACATATAATGTGGAATAAGAATATACGTATTAGCAATGCAAGGATTAAACAATTTATAAACAAAAATGCTCTTTTACAGTAAGTAATTCATGTATAGCAATTCCTTCATTATTAATTACCGTTTAACAATCTTTCCATTATTAATGACTGCTTAAACCATTCTTGCATTATAATCTCCGCATATCTAGTAAGTGAACCGAACAACCCTTAAGTGTATTTATTCTCACATTTGAGTTAGAGGTAGTGTCCTCCAAAAAGGTTGTCATAGATTTTCTTTACAACTCAATTAGAGCATGAATTTAATTAGTAGTTAAAGCCATCAAGCTAAAGAGAATCCTTTGATTTTTTGTTCTTTTGGTAATTTCTTGTCACATGAGAGATTTTTCCGTGAGAAGTGTCCTATCCGAACTGGACAATGTTGCTGCAGGTATTATGTTTTCCAATTGGCTTGTGATGCCTGCAATAATTTGCTTGCCTCCTTTCGGCTCAGGATGCATAATGCCTATAATTTTGTGCGAAAAGCTAATTGCCATTTACTCTCCTTTTGGGTCTTCTTCCGTTGCAGGAGGCTAAGCATTTTGCTATGGAGCCCCATTTGCTCCTTTAGTAGATCTACTAAGATAAAATTCAAGTGCAATTACTTTTCCCTATATCTTAGACTTGCTTTGTATATAGGATGACAATTACTACTAGTCATCCTTGGAAATAACGATGCCCCAGAACTGTAAATCCTTTTATTTCAGAGAAATGATGTCAATTAAAGGAATTTCAATTGTTTTACTTAGGTTTGTATGTATACCTTTGGGCTTTCTTGTTAATTCTCACCCACCCTTCGCGTCATGCTTGCGTCTTGCTAACATTGAAATGTAGCTCTGGAACAAAAATGTCTGGATATGATTGTAATTAAAGTTATGTTTGACACGCTTTTGCATGTGTGGTGAAACTGAGAGCCATTAAGGGCTGTCTTTATTACGTGATTATCTTCACTTGTTCAATTTTGCTTTCTCCTGTTTGGCAGATCACGTATAATCTTGTTGAATTTAATGTCTTATCGGTAGTTCATGTCGCTTTCTCTATTCTGTTGTGGTAATTTGTTCTTTTCTGCTAACTTTAACGTTGTAACTTTCTGTAGAAGGACATCATTTGTGAACCCTTGGTTACCTGGTTGAACCAGAATGGACAATTTGCTTTAATTCAGAATGCTTCATCACAATAGCAGTGGTTGAAGCAAACGCCTACAATTTCTTCTCCAAATTCCCACTCTTAACATCTTCAACAGCAGAGGCAGCACCAAATTCTTATGCAGCAATAATTAGCTTCTTCTCAACAGTTGCATCAAAATTCAATGGGTTTGAACCCACAACAGTTATCCCAAAGTGTACAGCAGCAGCAACAACTGGGGCATCCTCAGATGTATCAACAGCAGCAGCAACAACAACCTCAGCAGCTTTTGCATCAGCAGCCGTCTTCTCCAACACTGGCTATCACTACTGGCTTAAAGTCTCTGAGTTTGACTGGATCAGAACCCGACAATGGATCTGGAACAACGAGTTCTGGGGGAAGTTCAAGCCAAGGGACTGAAGCAAACATTCAGCTTCTTGGGAAGAGAAAGATACAAGATTTGGTTTTACAGGTTTTCCCTTCACCTTGTTAATGTTCAAAGCTTTCCTGTTCTCCTTGTTGGTTACTCAAGCAAACAGCCGATATCCATTTTATGTTGTCCTTTTTTTTCTCAGTCAAAACATTACAAAAATTTGGTGGAAAAAGTATACTGAAAGTGAGCTCTCCCTTACATTCCTTTCGCACTATCCACAAGCTCCAGTAGATGCTGCCAATTTATTTCATGTCAGCATAGAGTTGTGTGGAGTATTTTGCTGAGGAAGTTTATTTGTCTAAACTGTACTGCAAAAAACAATGGTTGAATTTTACTAAACCGTACTTCTAAAATTAGTTGAGTTCGATTAAACAGGTATTGTGGTTATTAATATTTCTACTTTTAACAGCTTTCCACATACTGCGATAATATTTCAGGTGGATTCTCGGGGAAAGCTTGATCCTGAAGTTGAAGATCTTCTTTTAGAGATTGCTGATGACTTCATTGATTCGGNGGCACATTTTCATGACTGCCTTTCTCATTCTTTTGGGTTCAAGTTAGCTTTTCAGACTCTGTGGTTGAACACATTGACATAGCCAGATAAAGGGGACTTTTTTCCTTAAGGGTCATCATCCGATGATTCTGGCCTCTTCCTCCCCCACCTCCACCCTCACTCGAATTAAAACAAATAATAAAAACCAAAAATATAAAAAAATTAAAAGAAGAACCCGGGAATCCCTTTTTTGGGGGCCATTTTTGGTTGTGATGCTAAAAAGAGTTAGAAGGCATGGCGTGGAACTTTTGTTTAGAAGAGTTTGATAAACAAAAATAAATAAATGTTGTTGGGAGGTCAATTTAAGGTTATCAATTTACTTTGATGCATGAAGCAGTCAATGAATAGCTTCCTTTTGAAATACTTTCTGCAGAAAACCATTCGTGAAATTCAACATATATGATAGACGTACTTAGGATGGATTATTTGTCATTTTCTCTGCTAAGTCTCATGTTCTATTCCTCTCTGTAGGTTACTACATTTGCTTGCAATTTGGCAAAGCATCGGAAATCTTCGACTCTGGAGTCCAAGGATGTATTGTTACATTTAGGTTTGTGCCAGCAACTGCAAATGAGGCAGCTGTTTACTTTGGTTTAAATTTTAAAGAAAAACAAGCATCTAATGACTTTTTAGAATTGGAGCCTATAAGATAAATCATTACAGACTTTATCAAAATTAATAAAATTATAGAAATTAATGGTCGCAGTTGCGCTTAACTAGATAATTTTATTGCTTTCTGTTTATTTTTATTGCTTTCTATTTATGAGTGTGTTCTTCTGCATTTAGTATGTTAATATCTTTTCTCTCTGGATCTAATTAGAGTCACAAAATTTTAGCCCACATTCCTATTGACACAATTTTGGACCAAACTTAGTTTTCATGGCTGTTCCTTTCAGTCTGCAGAGTTTTATGTTTTTCTAATAGCTACTCTTCTCTAGTGATTCAATTGTTGGATTAGTACTAGTTGTTTTCTCCTTGGCGCCAACTTTTACAATTATTATTATCTACTTAACATTCCTTATATGTTTAAGCTTTCAATCTACTTATGCACACATCCAAATACTAGAATTTGTATTCCACCACCTCATACGTATGCAACAGGAGTTGCCGGCCAATACTTTGATGAACACAGTTTAAACACAGATCGTGAAGAAGCCTTTCCTTCAAAAATACATTTTGCTTTGAAGGATACATTTTGCTTTGGAGGAAAGGCCATTTTTTAAGGAAAGGCTTCTTTATGATCTCAATTCTCATCAATGCAGTAGAATGCTAAGAATGTTTACATACAGTTCATCATTGCTTATGATGTTTTTACATGATTCGATTAAGATAGAAAAACATTGAGATATTGGTCTAATTTACATGTTATGATTTACAGAGAAAAATTGGCATTTGACTGTTCCGGGCTATTCAACCGAGGATAAGAAACACGATTCAGAACATGTAAGCTCCTCTCCTCTCTTAACTTTGGTGGTATTCTGGTATTTCACTTATATATCTGCAAATATTTGAGGGCTTTTTGGAGTTATGATGCATAGCTAACCATGACACATGATCTATGACTACCTAAAGTACCCGATAACCTATTAATTTAAAAAGAAAATAAAACCTCAATAACTTTTTTTTTTGGCCTTAATCTTGTATATTGTATTTTTAGCTTCTGATTACAGTCCACCCATTGTATTATATGTTTTTATTGATCTCTTTCTCGGGAAATGGCTGTAGTAACTTTAAGCTGAGTAGAAGAATTCAGTCTGTTTCTATGACATCATGTTTCTAACTTTTGTGCAGTCACCAAGTGATCTCCACAAAGAGCGTTCGGAAATGGTGAGTTGGAGTTTTTTTGTGATAACACGATGTGCCTTTGTTCTAAGTGTATAATATCATAGTCTTGATACTTGACTCAGATATACACCATGATGGAGGCCGCACAAGATGAAGCAAGTACAAGTAGTAGCACTGAGGAGACCGTCAGTCCGGGGCTGGGTGACCATGTTGGTTCGAGTGACATTGTCGGACCGCAAAGTGCGGAGCAATTGGTTTCACAGTCTAATGGTCAGATATAGTTTTCCCTGGAATTTGGTATACCCCTCACTTCACTGTAATAAAGACTTCTAGAATGAGGTCAACTATAGTTTTGCTTGTCTGACTGAAGAACTTAAACATAGCCTGTTTTGAATTTGCACTCCCGTTTATGTTATTTGCATGGTTTCTTGTTCTCCCATTATGCCATTTTTTGTCATTCCTCTTAAGTCAACATCATACTATAGCTGAATACAACATGAAGTCTGCAAAAAAACCTGAATCCTATTGGATCGATGTGGGATTGCGTATTTTTTTTTAAAAATATATATTTTAGAAAAAGGTTTAATTACTGGAGGGAGTTTGGCGAAGCTTATAAGCACCTTTTGACTTATCTACGCATTTGGTAAACACCCAAAGTGCTTATAAACCAAATGCTTATAAGCTAAAATCAGCCATAAGTCATAAGTTGGTCACCCCCAACTTAAGGCTTTTCAGCTTATAAGCACCTTTAGTTTGACCAACACTTTTACTAGTTTGTCCTTAATAATATTTTTTTAATTCACAAAATATTTTTTCCAAAATAAATTTTCTGACTTTCTCTTCATTCCACATTCGTTGTTAATTCTTTTCTTTACAAAGAATTTTTTTAATTTATAATCTTTTGAAAAAAAGATCAAGAGTATTTTAGTTATTTTAACAAAAGAATAGCTTATCAGCACTTTTTTATCAAATACATCAACTGCTTATTATCAGTTTCAGCACTTCTATCCAAACACGTAAATACTTATTTTAAAATCAGTTTCGGCACTTAAAAAAAGCTTTTCATCACTTCAAGCTTATCAGTTATTTACAATCAGTTAATCCAAACGGGCTCTTAGTATATGGTTGTTTTTAACTTTGAATCACTTGATCTCCTTTTACATACTTGATAGAGCACAACTGCTCAATGCGCTTCACTTTTCTGGTAATTTAAAAACATGAATAAACAAACTTAAGTTGATTAACCACAAATCTCTGCAAAAACAGTTGTGCAAAAGACCTGTGAGTTATTTTAATTTCGGCGGTAGAAGTTGGACTACATGTGCTTTTAATTTTTATTGTCTCTTAGTCTTGGATTTTGTCGATACATCGTCCGATAATTGCTAATCCGATATCGAACCGACGGATATCTTATTGGTTGGCTAACGGATTAGTACATTTAAGATAAATTGGCTAACAGATTAGTACATTTAAAAGCCGATAAGCCAAACCGTTAAGGGTGATCCGCCCGATAAGCAGACCTAGGAGGAGATGCTACGCTGCTATGGGGTCTGTACCCTCAACCTCAACCATGAAATGCAAGAAGTTCACCAACTGAGCTAGTTTTCAACCCTGATTGCAGACTTTGATTGGGTATTTTTTTTATTTTTTGCACATTTGTGTAGAATATTAGAGCTCTTTAATTTGAAGGGGTTTTAATTTTGCACATTTGAAGATGTAAAAATCGGATACATTTCATGTTCACTGCCTTCAATTTCTGAATTCACCAAAAATGAAAATACAAGGATTATTATTTCCAACAGAGAACTACAATTTAATCAAAGGGCTAAAAATAAAGAAATAGATGTAAACTATGAGAATTAATAGCCCGTTTGGCCAAGATGCAAAAATCAGCTTATTTTGAGAAGTGTTTTTTCTTAAAAATGTTTTTCTCAAAAGTACTTTTGGTGAGAAGCAGTTTGTGTTTGGCTAATTAATTTGAAAAGCACTTCTGAGCAGCAATTAATGTTTGGCCAAGCTTTAAAAAACTGTTTCTAAGTTTATTTTTTCCTCAAAAATATTTTTCAAAAAAGTGCTTTTGGAGAGAAGTTACTTTTTTCTACTCCTCCAAAACTGTTTCTGCTTCTCCCCAAAAGCATTTTTTTTCCTTTCAAAAGCTTGGTCAAACAACTTAATTTTAGAAAGAAAAAAAATACTTTTGACAAAAAAACGATTTTGCCTCAAAAGAAGCTTAGCCAAATATGAAATAAATGTGAGCACCTAATTTTTTTACCGTGTTTGAATATTTTCCGCTCCTATCTTTCCACGCATGTCCCCACTTTACCTTGTCCCCCGCGCGTGTCCCCACTCTACCTTGTCCCCCATGCTTGTCCCCTCCCCACCATACCTTGTCC